GATTTAGGATCCAGAAGCTCTTCCCACGTTCAATGCTTGCTCACCACTTTCTTCTCCTTGCTAGCACACCAAAAAGGGGGTATTTTAGGCACTTTAAGCTCAAGAATCACTCACAAAAGATTTAGGGTTTTACAGGCATTTGAAAGCAATGGAGTATGGTAAGGAAGGGGGTTCAGGGTCATAAATGAGCTTAAATAAGGCACAAGTCTGGTCATTAGGGTTTTAGTCGTCGGTCTCGTATGCCCCGTGTACATGCCTGTAGGCCCCGCGTATGAGCCTCGGTCACCCGATGCATGCGCCTGAGTACGCTAAGCATACTCACATGTACGCCCAGCGTACGGAAGGTCCTCAAATGCCAAAAAATGAAATACTTCAAGGGCATAAACGGAATTCCTTGATTTTGAATGTTACATACAAGGTGTGCGGCGCGCTCCCTTTTCAAGCCTATATAAACCCTGTGAAATCCTTTATTTCTCTTCATTCCTCTCACTAGAATCTCTTTGGAACTCTTTATAACTTTTAGACCTTTTACTCCCGAGTTTTCGGCCACTTCGGTGAAACCCTACAGTGTCAAATAGACGACAATTAGGAGCTCTCGAGTTAGAGTTCTGCCCGCTTAATTCCTAGTTTTCATCAGTGTACTCTGTAAGTTAAGCTACACTTTTTTTTATTAAAGTGTAACTTTTAATTATATTCATAGTCGTTATGATGAACCTATAATTAAGATTTTTCAGTAAATCCAACGTCATATTACTGATTGATTTACTTACGGGGATGATGTATAGGCTGGATTTAGTGAAGTGCTTAAAAGGAGATTTCAAAACAGTATACTCTGTATACCAAACGAACCCTACCTCCGATATGATCCTACATGGTTGTTCCTTACTTGATAGATCTTGATGTAGACATTAGGATTAGTGAGGAATCTAGACTATCATTAGTCGCCAGGAATATTAAACTAAGACTTAGTGGCATTCGTATCTAGGTCACGTCAGAAGAAAAGTCAAGGAGTTTGGCAGAGCGGTGCCTGATTCTCCAGTCACCCACCTAAGTCAGGTGAGTGTATAGTCCGATTCATGAACATGATTTTAATACAAATATTAATTAAAGTATTAAATATATGTTAGAAAGTTTATATGTGAGCTATATGCTTATTGGCTGGTATATATGTTAGATATGTACTTGAGAATATGTGATATGCGAACCAGATATGATTCTATATATGTTAAAAGGTATATATCTATTATTACATAATAATAATAATAATAATAATAATAATAATAGAAATATTATTAGAGAAAAAGATAAAAGTATATACTGTGTGTTAAATATGTACAAAAGGATTGTCTAAACATAGTTGATATTAAGAACCTAGTAGTTTTACACGTTAATAAGATAAGGCTTATTATAGATACCTAGTTCAATTAAGTTTGATATCAGGTAGTCTCATTCGGGATACGTGTGTGTAGGTTAGAGCCAAGAGTAGAGTTCTGCTCCTAGACACACTTTCAGGTGTTGATGGTACGAAATACGTACCGGAGTACAAATCGTATTCCTTCTTGCGTGACCAGAAATGGTGGGCACAGATCTGACAACTATAATGGTATGTCTGCTTATTTTCTTAGGTGACCAGAAATGGTGGGCCCAGATCAGACAACTGAATAGTATTTTTGCATATTCTAAACGGTTCATTAGGTGAGTGAATCTTTCGTGATAATTTTAGACTAGTATCTATGAGGGATTAGATATAGACATATGTCACCGATCTGAGGGTATGGATTAGGCATAATCATCTGTCCCTGTTCCGAGAGTACGGATTAGGTATAGTCATCTGCCACTGATCCGAGAGTATGGATAGGCATAAACATTTTTCCTTGGTCCGAGAGTATGGACTAGACATAGTCAATCATTCATGATTCGAGAGTATGTATTAGACTTAATTATTGATTCTTGATCTGAGAGTAGGGATTAGGTAAAGCCATTCATTTCTGAATATGAGAGTATAGATTATGTGAGGACCGACGGGATGGGGTAAATTGCTTATAAGAGAGAAATCCCTATGTATTCACCAGGCTTCCCAACCCTACTCACTCAGTTTCTTTGCATTACATGTAACAATAGGAAGGTTTATTATGCTTAGAGATTAAATGAGATATAGATAAGTAGTGTAAATTAATATAAGGACTGTTTATGCTTATGTTTTGTATTAGTTATGACATCTCGGGCTTTTAAGATATAAAATCTTCTGAAATGCCTTGATTTTGATATTTTTTCATGTCAATGATATTTTGGGACCGATTCCGCAATGAAAAATGTTTTAAATAAGCATAAATAAAAAAGTTTTAAAATGACCGTAAAAATGGGGATGTCACAAGTATTAATTTTTAAATACTTAATATTGAAAATACTAAATGAAACTTTGTTAAATTCTATATATAACTGTTAATACTCTTACGCCCTGCAAAACCTCTTTCTTATTGAGTTTCAACAGATAGTAACATTTAATGGTTATAATTTCTATAAATGGTATGATATCTTGAGGTTCTACCTAAATGATATATAGAAATTATATATATTAAAAGATCACATACCTTAATAACCTCTGCAAGCTAGTCAGTCTGACCATGATACTCTTTTTGGTTGTTCAAAGGCTTCAAAGGTTGTCATTCTAAAACTCTTTTTGGTTGTTTTATTTCATGCTAACCTCTATAAAAGGATCTTTGATGGTTTGGTTTTGTTATAAACTAAAAAACAAACTTGTTATTTTTATAAGACTTTCGTTGTGGTTTTTATGAAAAACACACTTATATTTTGTATCAAAACTCATCATTTTGATCGTTGGGTTCGCATGCAGGAGATCAGCAAGCTTAAGAAGCAGTTGTCCAGAGAGTTCGACATGAAGGACCTAGGGGTTGATAAGCAGATAGTAGGCATGAGCATAGCCAAGAACATATTTACCAGTACACTAAAAATTTCACAAGAAAAGTACATCAAGAAAGTTTTAGAAAAGTTCGACATGGAAAATGCTAAAGCCAGAAGTACACCCTTAGGAAGTCAGTTTAGTCTCTCAAAGAAGCAATCCCTAAAGATGGAAATGGAAAAAGAACAAATGGCTAAAGTTACCTATGCATCTATAGTTGGTAGCTTGATGTATGTTATGGTATACACTAGACCAGACATTGCTCATACAGTGGAAGTTGTGAGCAGGTTCATGTCAAATCCAAAAACAGAGAATTGGGAGGGAGTAAAGTGGTTTTTACGCTACTTGAAAGGAAAAACTAAGGTTGCCAACATGTTTCAGAATAAAGAGAGTGGTATTAGAAAGGTTCGTCGATGCAGATTTAGGTAGATGTGTGGATTCATGAAAGAGCACAACTGGTTATGTATTCACGATTGGAGGTACAAAAATCAATTGGATGTCCATGTTACAAAAGAGTGTTACTCTCTCAACCACAAAATCAGAGTATATGGCCATTACAGAAGCACCTAAAGAGCTTATATGGGTGTGGAACTTTCTATCAGAACTTGGAATGTAGCAGGAGAATTGTGTACTGCATTGTGACAACCAGAGTGCATGTTACATGTCAAAGAATTTATTGTTTCACAGTATAATGAAACACATTCAGATGAGGTACCACTTTATTCGAGAGTTAATTAATGACTGAACCTTGAATCTGAATAAAATCTTTGGAACGAAGAATCCAACAGATATGTTCACGAATGTGGTTACCACTGAGAAGTTGAAGCTTTGTATGGCTTCAACTGGCCTTTCAAAAGTTTGAGAAAAAATATTCTCAAAGAGAGATAGAGAGAGAAAGAGAGAGAGATAGAAAGAGAGAGAGAGAGAGAGAGAGAGAGAGAGAGAAAGAGAGAGAGAGAGAGAGAGAGAGAGAGAGAAAGAGAGTGTGTGTGTGTGTGTATGTGTGATTAAGGAATGTTGCAATAGTTGGATGGCAGAAAAAGACTATGTTGTCCAAGCCTTTAAGTGGGAAATTGTTAGACTTAGGTGTGTGAAGGCTTTGATTATATTCAAAGGTTGGTGAAATTTTAGTCAAAAGTTCTTAGGTGAAGAACATAAGGTGAGCTAAGTGTATAGCCTTGAGACTTTTACCTTATGTGTGTGAATGCATGAAAAAAAAAGTGTGTTACATAAAGGGGGGGGGGGGGGGGATAAGCCATGTAGTAAGTCTGCATATCACGTGGATGATTCATTTATTTCTCCCATGCATACATTGTTTGAGGTTTTAAACTTGACGCCTATAAATAGGTTCTCCCCATTCTTCCTCGATACACCACAACACTGAACAACAACACATAACAATATACACTAGATATAGAGTGAGATATTTCTTTTGTGCAAAGTCTTTTGTTTGGCAGCCAAATATATAAGTGATACCTTACAGTGAGTGATCAGCTTACAATTGCAGTTTAGTCTTGTATGATTGTAATTTTCTTGGTGATAATAAAACTCTCTCTCTCTCTCTCTCTCTCTCTCTCTCTCGCATGTGGATGTATGTCAGATTAGACCGAACCACGTTAAATACTATGTTCCAATTTTACAGTCTTCGTTTTGTAGTTTTTATTCTACGTATATTACCGAGATCATTTATCTTTTTTTCATAAGTGTTTAACTTGTTTTGTTGAATTCCCAACAACACTAAAACTTTGATTGAGCCGATTGGAAGCTCCGAGGAGATGACTCAATTACCTAAATTTTGTGTGTTTTGCGTTTTCCCCGTCATATTATGGCCAAAAATGCAACCAACAAATAATCTACAAAATAAATTGTAATAGTTGAAGTATGGATTCTACCCGTTGGTACTTGAAGTTTAACAACTTATGTCTTGACGTGAATAAAACTAATAAAGATAAAGAAAACGAGGGGTATGTTATATAAAATTTAATCATAATATAATATAGTGGAGATTAAAGTTATATATAGTAAGCCGCCATCTTTGTTTAACGAAATAAAAAAGCCCGCTCCATCCTATAACAAGTGTTCCTCTCCACCACAACACACCAAAGCCTACAACTCGTTTTCCCCTCAAATGGCATCCCCAATAAAAACAGTGGTTGTTCTTGTTCAAGAAAATCGATCTTTTGATCACATGCTTGGATGGATGAAATCCATGAACCCAGAAATTGATGGCGTCACCGGAAAAGAATCCAACCTTTTGTCCACCACCAACCACCATTCCCAACGCCTCTACCACACCAATAAGGCCGGGTTCATCCAACCTGACCCTGGTCACTCTTTCGAAGCTACATATGAACAAATCTTTGGTGTTGAATGGTCCGAATCATCAACTCCTGGTCTAACCCCGACAATGGATGGGTTCGCTCAACAAGCTGAAAAGGTCCAACAAGGCTTGTCCGAAGTGGTCATGAGTGGGTTCGACCCAGAATCCTTACCTGTTTACAAAGAGCTGGTTTCAGAGTTCGCTGTTTGTGACAGGTGGTTTTCATCGATTCCCACTTTGACACAACCTAACAGGTTTGTGCTAGTATTTAATTTCTCTACAACTTTTTACTTAAAATAATAATTTAATTACTTAACGGATCAATATTTTAATTGCTTAATACAATTAAACTTTTGTTCTTACGTAAAGAATTAAAAATGAATATGTTCTATAAATGAGAAACAACTTTAAAACGTGACATGATAGCGACTTCCATTTTTTATTTTATTTGAACATATCAATTTTTTGGCATGCGATGATACAGATTGTATGTTCACTCTGCAACGTCATATGGTGCGACTACAAATGACACGGAGATGATGATCAAAGGGTACCCACAAAAGACCATATTTGAGTCTGTGGAGGATGGTGGTCATTCTTTCGGAATTTACTATCAGTTACCCCCGTCAACTCTGTTTTACAGGTACATTTCTTTTCGTAATTTCAAATTGGGATATATACACTAAAGTCCTAATATTTTTATCGATTTGACAAGAAAGTCCTAAATTTTATTTTTTTGACAGTAAAATCCAAATTACCGGTAACTTTTTACACTTTTACCCTTTTTTCCCGGTTAGCCGGTATTTATGACTTTTTTGTGAAAAAAATAAAATTTAGGACTTTCTTGTCAAATCGTCAATTAGGACTTTATTGTCAAAAAAACGAAGTTTAGGATTTTCTTGTCAAATCGTTGAAAATATTAGGACTTTAGTGTATATATATTCTTTTTTTTGTTAGAAATTTAATTGTATAATACTCTTTAAGCATAAGAGTTATTAAAACATTCTCTAATCAGCTAGATTCTAACCAAAAAATTATATATACATTAAAATCTCAATATTTTCAACGATTTGACAAGAAAGTCCTAAACCTTATTTTTTTGACAGTAAAGTGTTAATTGACAATTTGACAAGAAAGTCCTAAACTTTATTTTTTTGACAAAAAATTCCTAATTACCGGCTAACCGGGAAAAATGGGTAAAAGTGTCAAAAACTGCCGGTAATTTGGACTTTACTGTCATTAAAATAAAGTTTAGGACTTTCTTGTCAAATCGATAAAAATATTGGGACTTTACTGTATATATCCCTTTCAAATTTAAATTAATTTGATTAGTGAGTAAATTATGATATAATCAAATCACGTAGATTAGTAAGACTGTAGGACCATGTGTATGTTTTCGTATTTGGAACAAGTAATGAGTGATTTTAGCAACCTGTCATAATTTTGACTCTAGTGTCTTGTGGCTTTTCTTTTTCTTTCCAAATAAAATAAAATAATACTTACTTATTAAGATTCACATATGGCATAAAGACACATGGCCACATTATCTTTTAAGTAGGTATATAATACAAAACAAACATTGTAAATCAATTACAAAACTAAGAAATTACTTTTATGTAATAATTACAAAGTTTAGCAATTTAGTCGATTACCTACTCCATTAAACAACCATTGACATTTTTAATATCCTAACAACTCTATACCTGCTCTATCTATTAAACAAATTAAATCTTGAAATAACGTTGATTAAATTTCCAATCAATTAAACTGTATAATGATTCAACTTGACTATTCGGTAATTCAAATTTAAATATTTAGTCTCACTACGTTCTCATTTTAACGTTAATTACCTTACGTGAAATGTATCAGAAACTTAAGAAAACTGAAATACATAGACAACTTCCATCAATTTGATCTACACTTCAAGCGACATTGCAAGGAAGGAAAGCTACCAAATTATGTCGTTGTTGAACAAAGGTATTTTGGGATCAAAGGTTCGCCTGGAAACGATGATCACCCATCACATGACGTGTCCGATGGTCAAAAGTTTGTGAAAGAAGTCTACGAAGCTTTGAGATCAAGCCCACAATGGAACGAAATCTTATTTGTAATTGTGTACGATGAACATGGAGGTTTTTATGATCATGTTCCAACACCAAATGTAGGGATTCCAAATCCTGATGGTTTGATCGGCCCTTCACCTTATAATTTCCAGTTTGATCGACTTGGTGTTAGGGTTCCAGCCATTCTTGTTTCTCCATGGATAGAACGTGGGACAGGTATATAAGTAAAGTATTTGATAAGTATACTTAATTATACTAATTTCATAATAAGATCTTAATCACTTTATCACTTTATTGCAGTGTTACATAAGCCAACAGGGCCATATCCTACGTCGGAGTTTGAACATTCATCTATTCCGGCAACTGTTAAAAAGATTTTTGGTCTGAAATCACATCTAACGAAAAGGGACGAGTGGGCGGGTACTTTTGAAGGTGTTGCACGCAGAACTACCCCAAGAACCGATTGTCCAGGTACATGCATTCATGTTTAAGTCAATACACTTAGTTTTCTCAAGTTAAAATCAAGTAAAATTGTTGTAAATATCAACCAAATTAAAGATGCATTTGTTTGTGTTAAAGTTACTTTGCCGGAGCCCATGAAAATGCGAGAGTTTGAGCCAGATGAAAACGAAAAACTTAGCGAGTTTCAACAAGAGTTGGTCCAACTAGGTGCTGTTTTAAATGGAGACCATAAACGAGACATATTTCCTAGCAAATTAGTCGAGAACATGACTGTAACAGAAGGTGCAAAGTATCTGGAAGATGCATACAAGAAGTTCTGCGAGGATTGTGAACGAGCCAAAAGAGATGGTAAAGATGAGTCTCACATCGTTTGTTTAGAGGAGGAACCAACTCCTGAATCTCCAAAGAAATCATCGAGGTCATTTTCTCAAAAGTTGTTTTCGTGTTTAGTTTGTGAACACTAGTGATGTTAATAATGTATATTTTGCTTTGTTTCTTATTGTTTGAATATAATTTTTAATCATGTGACGCACGTATTTGTTTATATTTGCCACTAATAAAAACATACCTTTTGTTTTGTTTACTCGTTTGTTGTTTTTATAACATAAACCAAGATAATCGGGTGTTATGGATGTTCGTTTTGATAGAGCAGTTTGATTCGACCTGATCAAATGAATCCAAATTGATTTTAATTAATTTTTAAAATAAAAATCAAAATAGTTCAAACTAAATTTAAATCCGAACTAATCCAACCAAATTAAAATTCTATTGGATCGATTTTTATAATTCGTTTTTAAAATGCAAGACATTTACTAAATAAAACTATTAATGTTGTTTATAAATAAGTTTTTAGAAATTTGTAAATAATTCGTAGAATATTATTTCTCGTAACATATTTTATTATTGTTGTTAATAAGACTTTATTGTTAATTTTAGTTTGTAATTTGTTATTTTTTTTAATATATGCTTATTTGAACAACTTAATTATTTGATTTGTATAACAATTTTGATTTACTTCATTAATTGTGATATTTTATTTTTATAATAAATTTAACATTTCATTGTATTATATCGTTATTTTTTTTCTTTTATTCACAAATAAATATTGTCTAATACATGTTGAAAATTAATTTCACATTTTTATTTTAACCAATGATTATAATTTTACATAAATAAATAAAATATCTTTTAATTAATAATTTATTCAAATTAATTAATTAAAAATTATGAGTTTCTACTATGAAAGAGTAATTAGTTTTATAACCGTGGTTCTCACGGTTTATAAACTAGTTTACTAAATATATATACAACTAAAGTATTAGTCCACTATATAAAAAACTAAAGAAAACTATTTAATTAGTTTTAAATTAAAATTTATAAACAATTGCTAAGAAAAATATATTTTAATTTAATATTTTATAGACAAAACACTTTTGATATGGAGTACGTTTATATGAAACTTTATAATCTACTAAAAATATAATTTATAAATGTATAAATATATATTATATAAATAAAAAATAAATTGTTATTTAATTTTTTTGGACAATTCAGTTCTTATTTTATAAATTGAAACCTCTGAAATCCCAAAAATAATAAATCGATTTTGCTGAAAATCAATCCAAAAATCCAAATATTCGAACCAAATTGTGCAATTGAACAATTCGATTTTATCCAAATAATAAACAGTCTTATACATATGTTGCGTTTTATGTAATTGATGATTAGTCTGTACTCTAAGTTTTTTAAAATTGTTAATGCATAAGAAGTGAATCTATAGCAATCCAAAGCAAATCTGAAGTCAACTCTATTCAGAGACGTGAAGTAGATCTGAAGCTCCTTTTGATCCCAGATGAAGAGAGTCTGAAGTTAGAGTCTGTGCAAGCATTTAATGCTTTTTGTCTTTTATTGATGTAACAGTTCTTAGGACTTTTTCAGCAAATCTTTTAAGTACCAGATTGTGACATCCCCATTTTTAAGGCCAGAAAAGACATATTTCGTTTATGCTTTTTAATAAAAATCAGAGTAACTTCTTAAGAAAAGTATTGCGGAATTTGTTCCCAAAACAAAATATGATATAAATTTTATCAAAGCATTTATTAAAGAAATGTATTTTCATTACATTACAAAAACTCGGGATGTCAATCATCGATAAAGACCATAAGCATAAACCAAAAAGAAATAAACATTCTAGGCCACAAAACACAATCTGGCCTCAAATCCA